AGGGCTTGGAGCTTCAAACGTGGCGTCACCTATCTGCCCCAACTACCCTGCCTACTAACTATGCACGCTACAAAGTCATGCACTCACCCCTCAGGCTATGACCAGCTTGGTGAGTGTGACACTTTCACTGAATTGCTCTTTTTCTGCTTCAGTGGCACTATATTTTATAGAAGCACGAGTCCTAATATAATTAGGCAGAAAACATTTCATTGAAAAGGGCGGAGGGGGGGGGGGGAGATGTGTAAACAGCATGGCTTGTGTACTGCATCAGATTACTGATCATGCATGTCGTACACATTTTAAGTTTCATTTCAACCAGTGTGCAAGTGTCTTTCAGGACTTAGCTCAGTTATCTTGCATGCAGTGAGAAATTTTAGAGGCTAATTGTAAAGGTTCGTAAATTTACCCCATATTGAACAGCGCTGTGATAGCTTTGTTAAAAATTGTTAACCCTTAATTTGTTAGATTGGCTTAGACTAAAAAAAATGCTTTGCATTTAAGAACAAGTGAACAGATCATATATGGTGTTAAACTTTAATTTTCCTATGACAAACCTAAATTACGTATAGTACTATAATACTAGCAGCCTTAGGGATAGGCGACACACTATTCTCAAGGCTTATGGCTGACCAAATGTTGAGCAAGAATAATGCCAGGTGAAACTGTTATTTAAAGTACTTGAGTAATTTTTCTAGGGCCAATTAAGTTTTAATAACTTATCCTTCCAAAACCCATTTTTCATTTTTCAGTGAAGATTATCCTTGAATACTCATGTGACATGAAGGAAACATTTGTACATTATAATCATCTGTATAATGTTCATGTGGTTTGTATAGGCCCCTCCGAACGAACCCTCTCCCACATAGGCCGATTCCACTTGATGCCTGAAAATTCAATTACATCACGTTACTTTCCTTTGGCCATTTCTGTTGGTGTTTCACATCTCTTGGTTTCTATTTCGATGCTGTGATTGACCGTCGTCTGTTATGTCCTCATACTGTGTCTTGCCCAGGTGCATTTATTTTAATACTTGCTAGGATATTGGATGAACTGTTTTTTCTCTTATCCACTCTGCTGTCTTCCCAACTCTTAGGGTTACACCTATCATTTTTCCTTTTATTGCATGCTTTGTAGTCTTTAGCTTCTTCACTAGAAGCCAAGGTTGGGCAATTTGATGCCTTAGCTTCTTTTTCAGTTTTTTTTGTTATTCTCCTTGTTTACTCTCAATATGTTAGAACTCGTTAAATGAACCGTTGTACACTTTCTGCTTTAGTGACAGTGGTAAGTCACTGGTCATGAGTCGAAAATGTCTACTGTATGCACGCCAACTCACCTGTGTTTTTCAGTGGATTTCCTTCACATAAAGCAGACTCCCTTGTTAATATTTGATCTAGATAGACACCATCTTCTACTTATTTAAAGTTCCAGTTGTTGCTTACAAATTCTTGCTTTCTTACTAGAACACCTGGCAATAGCTTTGTATTCTGCATTGTCATTTTTCCAATATTTATTGCAGTCATTGCTCATGACTGGAATATTGTTGGCAAAAGATAAATTTCCGACTTTCTTTGTACGAATCTTCATTACTATTTCTTTCCAGTCTATTCATTTACATGCTTTTAGACAAGCATTGAATAGCACTGGAGAGACTATATCGTCTTGACAGACTCCTTTTTTTTTATCAGGATTTTCCTGCTTTTATTCAGGAAGACCAGAGCAGCTGTGAAGTCATTATACATTATCTATATGGTATGTTTCAGGTACCCCTGTTGGCACAACACCTTCAGAACTTTTGGTATCTATAAAGTCTGATTCCATTTTGCAATTCAGCAATGAAATATAAAGCGGTTTCGTGTGTTTGGCCGCAAATTTCTCAATTATTTTATCGATCACATGAAATGGATCCATTGTAGAATACCTGAAGCAAGCCACCTTGTTCTCTAGGTTGAATAAAGTCAATTGTAGTGCTCATCTTATTCAAAACAAGTTTCGTGAATATTTTGTTCAATGCTCAAAGAAGACTGGTTGGTCAAGTATTTCACAGGTCAATTTTGGTATATTATTAAAATGATGCAAGACACCAGAATGTTCAGCAAATTTTTCTCTTTTTGAAATTACTGTAGGATTGGAAGTTGCAGCACGAGGTAAATGTGTACTCAAGGATGCCAGTATGGACTGCAATGTATGTTTTAGTCAGCTGTCTGTTCTTATATGCAGAGGGAAGAGTGGTGTAAAGATGAACCTTGAGAGTCCTGCATTCAGTAAAATGGACGGCTGCCAGGGTGACAGTGATGGGAGGCAGCTGCTGCAATGAGCAACCAATACGGTGGAGAAGAGGAGTGGCACCTATCGTACTTTCTTTTCAATTGGCTGTATCACCTTTCTCTGTGTGTTAATGCATATTTTGGTCTTTGTAAATGGAGTGTGCGAAGAGGAGGGCTAAGATAACATTTTGTGGGCAACAATTTAGGGACAAGAAGCTAAAACTTTCCCTTAGTTTTCTCTTAAGTTTGCCTTTGTGTCTCACGATTAAGAAAGAGGATCAACTCTTGCAAATCAGCAGCGAAGTTTTAAAGTTATCGGCTGCTAAAGTGCTGATATGCAGTGCTGCTGCACACTTTTATTTGTAAACAAGTAGTACCAAAGCATAATTTTTATTTGCCACCACAGAGCATAGTAGCTTTTTATTTACCTAAATCCTTGCATTCAGGAAGAAAAGTTGTATTCAGCTCAGATGTTGAAGGCCGTGCTTTTAGTGCAAGGAAGCACTACAGTTTTTTTGTGTGACTGTGCACAAATTTTCTTCGATGCATATTTTTTGCATTCGTGCAAGTGAAAAGACTATTGGGGATAGTTAATCACATTGTTATGTACATAATGATCTATGATATGAAGTTAAATGTTCTGTGGCCCAGTTTGGAATGTGTAGTAGGCAAAAGGAATGATGTGACATGGGTCTCCTGCTCTCATAAAACACCTCATAGGTTGTATCTTAAACAGCTGAAATGTAAAAACAAAAGCAGCAATTGTATCAAAACCTTTCCATTTGCGTGATTATTTTTATCACTTTTATTTGTTTGTAACTGATATTAATGCTTTACGAAACATTGTTAGTACTTGCTGTGCATACGTACTATGCACATACTGGAGTTGAGGCTGCACTTTTGCATGCTCAAGAGTTCACTTACACTAATATTTGTTTACTCCTATAATTAGCCATGCAGTAAGCATTGCCCTGACTTGTTAGTCCTTCACTGTGGTACTCTCATGTAGCACAAAGGGATCAGCTCAAGTTTTGCCATTGCACTAATTGTCCCCCTTGTAGGTTGTTCATTTAGCCGGTATGTGAATGCTTTGTATGTATGTATCTTATAGTCTACTCAATTTTCTTTTTTTTTTTTTGGAGCTTAGATGTTAAAAAATTTGTGCGTATCTTTTGTTGCACCTTACGCAAAAACTGAACAAGCAACTGTTCAATGTAGAATCATCTTTGTTCACAACGGGCCTCTTGGCAAGTGCTGGTACCATTTCTTTGTTGAAAAGGTCTTTTGAGGGGATGCCAGAAGTAAATTTCCTGGGTTATCATATTTTGACATGATTAGTGAAACTTCAACGAAACATCTAAAGAACCTGTCGGCTGTTTGCACTGCCACTCTCCACCAGTGTAAGCATATGAAATGTCTCGATAATGCGCCTAGTCTACTGTTTATGTCTATGAAGGCCTAACCATAGTAGCACCACACATAATGCAAACAAGGAAGAATTAAGGAGTGAAACAAATGAGCGCAACTTGTCACTCCATGCTTCGACCTTGTTTATCTTGCGCAAAGTAGCTAAAAGGTCAATTCGTTCTAATTAGGCCAGCTAGCAGTCTTGTGTAAACTGTCTTTTAAAACCTGAAGCATGTGCTCATTGCTATTGCTTTGTAATATCATAGATGGGCATAAAGAGAAGACACAAACACTTTCAAAACAAAAAGTTAAGTTATAGAAAATTTTCTGATAGTCATACTCCTCAGGAGGAATTGAAGCAAGCTGTTATATACGGTCACTTTGTGGGTAGAGGTTCCACATAGCATAGTATGGTCATTCATAATAACAGTGTACTTTATATATCTGTAATGCGTATGTATTGCAGCGAGGCGAGGGAGTGTTCAAGTATGTTCAGCTATGGCTAGTCGACTCTCTTCGCAAGTGATATAGATGAAGTTCCGTGATAATTTGTTAGATTTGACCACTTGGCTTGTTTGTGGATGGAGTATGAAGTGCTATGTGCAACAGTACTGGCAATTTCGCATGGGTGGGTTAATGTCCCTTCAACACACAAATCTGCACAGAGATCTGTGCAAGATGTCCTTAGCTACCTATTGAAATAAAACAATAATTCCCACAAAAAAAAAAACATTTTAACACTAATGTGTTACTTCATCTACAAATGTGTACACACAAGCTTTGACATGTGCAAGTGGCGGCAGCAGAATCGAGCTGCTCATGATGGTAAAAATCAGGCAACTGTGAATTTGGATATATCGTGCATTAGAGCATATGGCATCATTGGTTGATAGAAGAGGGAGTAATTTCTTGCCGACTAAGAATTTTAAATTCCAGGCTGCCTGCTGTGCTATTTGCTGAGAGATCGAACAGAGTTGCAGCCTGGTGGTTGCTGGTTGAAGCGTGCCTAGTCTGGATTGTTCATGCGTCTGTCATTGCCACTTTAAGCTTGTGTGCGCATGTAGGGTCGTTTGTCCTGCTCTGTTAGCACAAGTTTTAACTGCTGGAACTTTTGCCTACAACTATTTACTGAAGCAGTTGTCCTTGCTCGGCTGGACACAATTTACAAAAGCATTTGGTCTTGCTCTGCTGTACATGCCCTACAACAAGATCAGTTCGTGTACTTGACGAGAGTGCTGTGTATAGTTGCCTTACTCTTCTTCACCAGGTCATTTCAGTGTGGCTGTTCCATGATGCTGGGTGATTTTAAGGCCACCCGATCCGAGGATCTTTAATAATGTAAACATTCTTTAATGAAGTTTCCAATTACAGTCATTATATTGGTCACTACGAATCAATATACGAATATCATCAATACGAATCATCAATACGAATCATCCATACGAATATCATCCATACGAATCATCAATACGAATCATCTATACGAATCATCAATACGAATCATCAATACGAATCATCAATACGAATCATGAATACGAATCATTATATGTAATTATTACAGAACAATAAATCTCCGTCAAAGTGCGAATATATGAATTATAAGAAGAATATACACAAATAATTGAGATCTAAATAATTCGCTATCACTATACGCATGCCCACAATGAAACATGTCTGCCAGAATGTAGACAGACAGTTTTAAAATATCACAGGTGTGAATACTGTACAAATTGTACATTTCAGTAAGTATAAAGTGTCTGTACACTTGTACACAGACACTCAGGCTTTGCGCGGCAATTTCTAACCTCGTCAACACCTTCAAGTCAATGCCTATGACGAGATCGCTGTCGAGTCGCATCACGAAAATGTCAAACACAGCAATCGCTAGTGCTTGCCAGATGCCAAGTTTCGGGCGCCCAGCTTTGCCTGGCGAGCCTGCGGATTCTCCCTCAGAAACTTGAGGATGTCCCCACAGTCGATCGCCTGCGGCAGCCATCGCTGGAGGAGCAGCTCCTCGAGGAACCAGATCTGCCAGTCTCTGCCAGTGCGGTCACCACGATGTAGGCGTCATCAAAATCGTCCAGATGCTGGATTTGCACATCTTGTACGCCTGTCCAGCGCATAAGGAGCTGTCGCACCTGGAGGCAAAAAAAATTTTTAATGAGAGAATCGTTAAAAATGAATAGATCCCAAAGCAAATGCACACAACAGATGCTTGTGTCGGACGCTAAATCCACTGGTGCCACTATACACTCACAAACCTCATCACAAAATTGCATCTTAAGAGGCAATCAGTTTGTTATATTAAAAATTCGTTATAAAGGTTATTTTTAATACTGTTGTAAGACTTTTTCATTTACTTTGTTATAACCAATATTTCATCATATTTATGTTCATTATATTGAGGATTTAGTGCAGTCACATTCCATAAAACCTACTGAACCAAACATATTAAGCCAAAGAAAAAAATTCAAGGAACCTTAAGCTTCGCCTTTTAAAAGTTGAACGCAATAGCGAAATCCGGCCCCTAGTACGCCCTTCGATCGCTAAGTGCATACTTATTAATATGTTGTGTTAGCACGAATGGCACACACAGGTTTTTGATCTAGAGCAAGAGTCGCATGGCCTCCAAAATACACGCCCTGCGATCGCCGTTTCGGAAGCCATAAAGAGTCTCACAATGCCTCACAGATAGCAGCACATTATCTAGCGTTTGCGGTTTGCTTGATCGACACCTCTAGAGAGGCATGATATGTTTTTCGCTAGATAGACATAGTTGTCCATATTTAGAGCTGTTCGAAAGTTTCTGTGTGTTTTTAGTGGCAATGGCTGCACTATCCCGGCCTTTTTCGACGTAGTTCAAGGCTTCCCAAATGCACCTACAAATCGCTCAGTGGGCTCGTTTTCGTTGTGACACCTGTCGAACGAAATGCGTTAAAAAGGCCTTTAAACAATTCTTCAAGTAATCATGGAATGAATTCACTAGAAGAGCTTATCGCCTCACGAATTCAATGCCGCAATAATTTTAAGAATCCATCCAGTGCGAGTGGAACTACAAAGGTTTGTCGCATGCTGCAATTACGTTATCTCTCCTCCCGTCCCGACAAAAGTGCTGGAAGCTAAGCAGGGAGGAGTGGCAGGGGCCGAGAAACTACCACGCATCGTGACCTTGAGCACTTTTTTTTCTTCGAATGCGCAGCTTTTTCAGTATGACCACGCACGCATGCATGGACAAGTAGCGGCCTCCTGGGGCGATCTAGATAACCTGATTATTCGGTCATAGACGCAGAGACTATTTTTTGCTCACAACCAACGGGGCCGACGCCGACAGCGGGTTTTCTGCGACACGAGGTCTCTAACACAATCGCGTTAGAAAGTGTTTGGTACAGTGCACCAAATATGCTGCCTAAACATTATTTGTACTTTTTCATCAAAGTGCAGCAATTACGACACAAAGGGACATGGATTATGGACAAAAAAGCTTGCCACCAATGGGTATCGAACCCACAATGTTCAAATTTAATGTCACAGGCTACAACTGTGGCTATTCTCTTGTCTCTTTTACAGGGTAGAATTTCTGTACATGTAGTCCCAGGAGTATTAGTCCGCACCACTAGTAATGATGTGTTTTTTGTCACAGCTAGCGTCAAATACCAAACTATACAAGTATCAGATGTCTTTAGTTTACCTTCTATTTTTTAATGTTACTATGTTGCCGTGTTACCTGAACACATGTTTCAGCAATGTTTCAGCTCCCCATACACAATGCAATGATGATAGCTTCATTTATGACTATCACTGCTATAGTTTACTAAACAATGGCATCAACATCTTCTGGTTTTATTCAACAGCAATTAAAGAAAGGAATTTTTACAATACAGCACATAAAGCTATGCTATTTGTACCGTGCATATGACATATTTCCCTTTTATCGAACCTTCCTTGTCTAATCTTGGCCCTTTGTCAGCACATCATCACATTGAAAGCTTATGCAATCAAGCATGGCTTGGCAACGTTACATTACGAGTTGATACGGCATATGCATGCTAACTTGAAGCACTCGAAAAGACTCCAGAAATGTCCCTATCGACATATGTCACTGTTCAGTTTGTACAGTGAAGGAGAAGTTAAAGGGACACTAAAGGCAACTGTTAAGTCGACATTGATTGTTGAAATAGCGGTCCAGAAACCTCTCATTGTTACTTTTGTGCCAAGGAAGGGCCTATTTTGAAGTAAAATCATGTTTTAGTGGTGCACGTCGGGTTAGCGCACTTCAAATTACCTGCCTCAAGAAGCGGACCGACCGGCCCAACTCATCACTCACATCACTGTTGCCATGCACAACGTTGTCCGGATTTACTGCGCTAGTAGCAGCAGACTGAAAGCAGTGGGAGCCACAGCAGCAACAACGACCACTGATCAATTTCCCAACCTTGGCTCCAAGATTGCCGACATTTTTCCGTTCAACTGCGCCCCGCTGGATGGCACCACCTGTCGAGTGTAACTATGCCAAAATCGAATTTTTGAACCTCTCGTGTCCTTCCCCATAGTAACGCCCGGCGATTCTTTTTTCCACGAATCAAACAGAAATGAATAAGCAGCATTTCAATGTGTCTTTTGATTCACGGAAAGTTCTTTATTTAGTGCAGCTAGATTGATTACTAGCGATTAATTGTAAGTGGTCCGTCTGATGTCATCGGGATCATTTTGAAAATGCCCAACTGAGACCATAAGTTCTTGTGCATTTACCTTAATTTCTCGGTAATTAGAGCACTGTTGTTGATAATATTGTCATTTTAGATGTCATACATAGAGCTGTGACTCTGACGTAAATTGTCATTTGACTTCGGTGTCCCCTTAACATTCGGGATGAACTTGCGTGGACACGCATGCATCTACAAAATATCGATGACTAATATAGCCTACAACATACTTAAAATCAAGTTTAAAGAGCGTGCCATGCCACTGCGAATGAAATGCACCTTTGGCTTTTGTGTAAACAACCAAACACTCCTTGTATCACGAGTTTGTGTTGATTGCCACAATTCTTGTGAGCGCTCCCTTCTAGCAGACCATTTTAAAGGGAAAAGGGGAGCAGACTTGCATGAGAAGATTAAAAAAACAGATGGCCTTGCCCTGGTGTGCGCTGCCATATGCCATAAAAATTTGTCATCTAGCCTACAAGTACGTTTCAAGCTCGCCTTGGCAGTGCATTTCTCGTAGGCCATGCATATCTATGCCACCTCAGAGGGGATCATAGTAGCACCCAGGAAATTTTTCACGTAGAGAGTTGTCAACACGGTGCTCATGTACATGCTGTCTTGTGTGTTCACATTGCCAGCTATGTTTAACCAAAAACTACTCTGGCTCCTACCTCACTCGGTGCTTTGTGAAACCGAAACTGCAGCTGAGCGCTACAAAACAGATTCCAAATAACTGACCGTTGCACGCTCAAGCAAGCGAGCCTTCCAGGCGTGATAAGTCGGTCGTTCGCTACCTATTGCAACAGAAAGAGTTACATTGCATGCTGATGGGGACATTTTATAGAAACGCAGTGCACCGAAAGACAAGGACAAGCACATGCTATTAACTGGTTTATTAATAAAAAAACAGCTCTACATACCCACGCATTTAGAGAGCTGTTGGCCAGAGCAAGGAGTACGAGACTGCTCTGTAGGGACTCAGTAGTGATGTATTGACCCCCCTTCTCCCCACCCCCCATGAGGGACATGACCTAGGAAAAGCCTCCCAGCATTCACACGGGCCTACAGCCTTCTCTATACCATTGTAGCTAATTGTAGTTAGAGTAAATTTGAGTTGTTGCGTTATGGCAATGAAACTTTGAAGGAAAGCAACTTAAATTTGATGTGTTCAATTCCTGTAATTGCATTGAATAACTGTAATTGACCACTGTAATCAATCACTTTTATAAAAAGTAAATGTTATAGTAATTGGTTACTCAACGTTTGTCATGTGCACAACTATGAGTCTCCGCCACATTAGCATATGCAGAATATTAGAGAACAAGCATCTGATAATATCTGAAAACAGCACAATGATTACTAGATAAGGCAGTACAAGGGGCTCTGCATTTCTTTCAAGTACCTAAGGTTAGCTTGCATATGCCATATTTAGTCGATTGTAACACCAGGGGTGATGCTCCATAGTGTCCAGGAAGAAAAACAGTAAAATTGTGAGTATCATTGCACTTTGTTTACCATATCAATTTTTCTGCTGTATTTTTGCTATAAAGTGCTGTATCACTGCCATTTAACCACACCTTGCTTTGGCTAAAGGTATGGCTAAAAATTTGGTTAAATTAAGGTAAATGAATGAAATTAAGGTAAAATGAATGAAACATTTACATAATCCGAAAAGTTGGGAGCTTATGTCGATGCCACCACTACGGCCTCTTCCAGACCAGTTCATAATATCTATCTATATGTTGGCATTCTTATACTGTCAAGAAGGAGGCCAAAGTTGGTCGAGATAATCGTCATCCTAAACGCGCTCACGCAGATAGATGGCCAAAATATATCTCACGGCATTGAGCTTCTCCTTCAGCATCTGGTCCATCACTGGATTGGCTATCAGGATGTGAACGGGATCCAGCTCGAAGACTTCCTGATGAGGTTCGTGGTAGGCAGGGTCACAGGGCAGCGAGATGTGGCATGGGTCGAGAGAAATTGCCAGCGAACTGTACGCCCGCAGCGCCACCATCGGCAGCTTGTGGGTCTGGCAGTCGTAGCCACCGCCCGCACAGGCGCCCACACGGCACATCTCCCGCGGCAGCCGGTGCTGCTCCAGGCACCACCGCAGAAACGAGAACACCAGAGTGCCCACACTGGGGTCCTTGCCATGGTCTAGCTCGGTGTCGCACCCGTCCCATGGCTCGTGCAGGAGCAGTGCCGTGGAACTAGTGACCTCTTTGACGTCCTGCTCGTTGCACTCACGTTGTCCACCCTGCTCTGACAATCCAGAGTCCACTGTCTCGTCAGAGTCGTCCAGACAAAGGGGCTCCACAAACCCATCGATAATGTGCCAGGCTTCAGTAGGAGCCTTCTTGTGGGAAATGCATTTGCCTGCCCTCAGTTTCTTTGATGCCTCCACAGTTGGCTCGGCACTTGGCTCATCCTGGGAAGCTGCTGTTTCCAACATCATCATGGCATGCCGCCTCCTCGTGACAATCTTGCTCAAGGGTGCAAATTTCCTACTTTCCACAAACTCATTGTAAATGTCTAACAGGCAGTTGGAGCACAGCCCGGGCTTGAATGGGGCGCCAGGTTTGTGCTCGCCAAGCAGCGTCTCCTCTTTCAGCCACTTTTTAATTATTTGAAAGGCTGTCTTGAAGGAATCGCAACTTGCACCCAGACCATCATTCTCCGCAAGGCTGCTGTTCTCTTCGACAAGGTGGTCAATCTTCCAGTACAAAATGTTCGGGCACCACACCTTGTCCTGAGCGTCGGCGCTGCGCAAGATCTCGATGAGAAGGTCCGCGATGCACCAGGGAAAGCTAAAAAATGAGTCCTCTTCTTTCTGCTCATACGTCACCATGTACCAGGCTGAGGCCCTGCGAAGCTTCCTCTTGGTCGATTCCTCTTGATCGAATATGCAGCTTTCCTGCATTTCTTTCAAGATGCTGTTGTAGAAGACGTCGCGTGTGGTGACCGTCAGAAACTTGACCATCTTCTCAACGAGGTCTTCCATGTTGAGCTTGTCTGACTGGGCACTGTGATAGGCAACGAACGTGTTCACCATGCACGCCATAACCTCAACCTCGGACTCGATGCCGTACTGGTTCAGTATTCGCCGAAGGTTCGTGTTGTAATCCGTCAGAGCCTGCGCCGCCGACTCTCCGTACTCTTCACAACCTGGTATGACAAGCGCCTGGCACCGACCAGGGTCAACGTGCCGGTGACCCAACCTGCCCACGGCGGCCTCCAGGAAACTGCACGTTCGGTACAAGACACCGAGTGCCCTGTCGGACCGGTACGTGGTCTTGTGGCTTCCTTTTTCCATGAAGTCTGGGTACAGCATGGGCCGCTCGTCTCGTCGAAGGTAGGCAGTCTTGCCATTCTTTGCAAAGTCGAGGCAGATGCTGATCTTTTCAGCGATGGCAAGGCACTTCTGTGAATAAATTCCTTCCTTCTCCTGGTCAGCCCAGGCCAGGTGTGCGTTGGAGAAGATATCAATGGAATCATTCTTGATATAGTTGCATATGAATTGAATCATGTCATCGGTCTGCAATAGAGACAAAAGAGACGTGCCTTTGTGATGGAAGCTGTCGCAACATGCAGCGATTGGTTAACCATGCAAGCTCAAACAAGAACAAGAACAAAAAAGGTACCCACGTGTTTTTACGTTGCAGTGAACTTCTGCACAGCAAAACAAGCAATACTCAAATCACAACGACAGCACGAAGCACTTTGCCAAATCCAACATTACAGGACAATTGTATCATCTCGCTCATGCCAGAGTATCAGTGATGCTTGCATGTTAATATTATTGACATGCAGTAGCATACATGCAAGAAGTTGGCAAAATACATCGAACAATGATGCTGTCAACGGTTAATATGATGCAACAAGATAGTACATGACAATAAGCACTAAAATTTTTCGGTTGCACCTTGCCAAACAAGGCTACAGACCTCAGCAACGAGTGAAAAAATAGAAGAAATTGAGGAGAATAAATATTTGATCGTGCAAAGTGATGAGTACAATTTGTATGAATAGGATACGTTAGGCCACATATAACAATATTGCAAAGTCGCAGACCTGCAAACGTAAAAGCAAAGTGCTTAAGTTCCTTGATGATCAAAACTTTATTACTCCCAAAAGAGGGGACCGGCGGAGAGGTCGGTTACGCTGCTTAGAGGAGGTCAGCGGGGATCCCTTAGAACACCCCGGCATCCAATGCGCGTGGCCTACAATGCGCGTGAGAAAGCGAAGACCTTCGCAAGAAATAAATTGTTGGCAGTTCAGCGCTCTGTCTTGTCTCTTCTCCTGTCCCCTCCTGCCCTGTCGTTTTCGCTGGTAAGCACTCTTTAGCACGTGAGATTACCCGGGGTTGCTGTGCCGAGTCAGTGATATGCAGAAAGGACTCCCATGTATCTTCTGTGTGACAAGCGTCAGCGTACTGTGGGCGCGTCCATGCCATGTGTCCTTGAGAAATGCAGTGGATGACTAGTCAATCACATCCCCAGGAGAGCAACTGAGAAATACCCTGATGAAACTGATTATTTCTGTCTTTAAATGGGACACGTTTCAACTTGTTGGTACAATATCACTTCTGGAAATAGCGCGAAGACACTACAAGGCAAGAACAACATAAAGGAACGAGTGCTGAAAATCATTTGTGGGCTCAATCAAGCCTATTCAAAATATTATAAACTTCAAGGTATTCGAAATGAGCTAACAGACTTATAAACCACACGTAACCTCTTGGAAATGTGGTTTCACTGCAGTAGAGGTGCCACACCATGAATACACCTATCCGGGAGAAATCCACACTGTTGCGAAGCCCCACTACAACGTTGAAGAACATAACACCCTCACATCTATTCATCATTTCTTAACTTTAAACTTACTGAAACGAGCCAGGGCGGGCTCGACTCCGAGTATAGTCAGTTATAAAACGTTAACGTGTTTTACAAGTGATCAGTTGCATATTACTGAAAATCAGATCCTGCTACTATTTAGTGTTGCTTCCACTTGCATATGAACCAAAAAGAGTGACCTATGTGCATGCCTTGGTTCTATTTTAGGTATTGTGCAGGTTAAGCCATGAGAAATATGTTCCTTTTCTTTCATAATATATAAAATATACTACTCAAATTGCTTTGAAATCATTCAACCAAATCACTATTTCTAGCCTGAAATTTACTACACTTACACCTCAATATAACAAAGTTTCATCGTACACGAGTTTGTTATATACAAAAATTTGTTAAAGATTTCTTTGTAACGCTATATCCATTGAAACACTATCTTTCATTTACTTCGTTATGACTGATATTTCATTATGTCAGGGCCCATTATATCAAGCTTTAAGTTTATTTCTCCCAGCACTTGGTCCACAGTTCTGGTCTCGTTTTTTTGCACTGTTAATCATATTACCTGTATATCTTATGTTTTACCACAGCCCAAATACAATATATAATGGACATTTCAGTGCATCCTCATGCAGTGAAATGTATGAGAATTTATTGCTTCGTACACTGTTTTTATCCCAATGCTTCAGACTGTTTTTAATCCCTAAAAATTGCATTTCAATAAGTTTTAGGTTGTCATCGCCCTCAGTTGCTCTGTTATGTCACAAGCAGTGAAAACTTGAGTGATGACACAACTGGATGTCAAGATGAAGTTTCAACTTGGTAATTTAGGTGTCTATAACCCTTAGAGGACACTAAACACTTTTCTATCAATTGAGAACTATGCAAGACGAGTAGACAGCCTTGATTATGATGTCACAGCTATTGGTGCACAACGTTTAATGAGGCATTGCCTGCTAGATTTTTTTTTTTGGCACATTTTGCCACTTACCGAGCGTATTTTCGTGTTAAGAGTGATACCTTTGCTACCGCAAAAGGGTACCGTATTTTCCGGTTTATAAGTCGCACCCTTGTATAAGTCGCACTCCCCTCAAAATAGCAGTTTTTCTGAAAAAAAACGTATACAAGTCGCACCGGTGTAGAAGACCCACTTGCTCATCCGACCACCGACATTTAAGTATCTCGTCATGACAATGCATTGCAAAATGCATGCTTGCGACGGCCAACGCTTTTGCACGCTTCTAGCTATCGGCAGTCACGCGTGCGAGCGCTTTTAAACACACATAAAAACAATACTTTCAGAAGTACCTTTATTATTCCGATAGCTTGGTGACGTTTATTCAAAGCCATCGAAGTCGTCTTCCTCCGAGTCGCTCACGAACAATGCAGCTACTTCTGGTTGCAGTACTGCTGGCACATCACTGTCGTCCTCCGACTCGCTCGAATCGGATTCTTCAACGTCGCCATCGGCCGCGCAGGGGATCAAACCGGCCTTGCGAAAGCCCGCCACAATGGTCTTGGCAGAAATTCACTCCCAAGCGTCACTCACCCATTTCGCCACTTCGCCGAACTCTGCGCGTCTCATGCGCCCCGTTTTTGTAAAGCTGTGTTCTCCCTCCGACATCCACGTTTCCCACGAACGTCGCAGAACTGCCTTGAAGCAGCGGTTGACAGAAATGTCAAGCGGCTGAAGCATCTTCGTCATGCCGCCGGGAATAATCACTGGCATACAGTTCTTTGAACTGATCTTTTTCTTGACAATATCGGTGATGTGTGCCCGCATACTGTCCATTACCAGCATTCCTGGCTTCACGTGGAAGAATCCGTCTGGTCGACGGGAAAAACAGCGGTCAAGCCACACACTCATCATTCCCTCGTCCATCCAACCTTTTGTGTTCGCCTGAATCACCACTGTAGGAGGGAAATTATCCTTCGGCAAGGTTTTCCGCTTAAATATTAGCATGGGAGGCAGCTTCGTGCCGTCCGCGCAGCAGGCGAGCACAACGGTGAAGTGGGACTTCTCATGGCCTGTTGTCTTCACCGTGACAGTTTTCTGGCCTTTTTCGGCGATGCTTCTCCCAAGCGGGATGTCGAATGTCAGCGGCACTTCATCCATGTTAACGATGTGGCTCGCGCTGACATTCTTCTTCGCACCTTCCTCCCTCACGAATGAGCTGAAGTTGTCCAGTTGCGCCTGAAAGTCGTCGGGCAGCTTCTGGCACACTGTCGTCCGGGCTCTCATAACCAGCTGATTCCGTCGCATAAAGCGGAAACACCACGACGGACCACCATTGAATCCCGTAACATTGCTCTCCGCTGCCAGAGCCTTCGCCTTCAGGCGCAGCTGCACTGTTGACAGCCCTCTTCCTTTGGCTCGTTGTTGCAGTACCCACGTGCGCAGGCTACGCTCGAGGTCCGGCCACCGCGCCTTTTTGCCGCGGTTGGCCTTCTTTGTCGACTTCATCGTCCGGAGGACGCTGTGGGCCTTGCGCCAGTCACGGATTATTTTTTCACTGACGTCGAATTGCCTCCCTGCTTCTCTGTTCCCGTGGTTTTCGGCAAATTCAACAGCGCGCAGCTTGAACTTGGCGTCATAGCTTCGCCGACTTTGCTTTCCAAGCGGCGCCATGGTTCGCGAGGTTCTACGGCGCTACCGGCTCTATGCTACGACGCACAACACAACACATGAGACGCGCGCAGCAACAGCGACACAGCGAGTGCAATGAAGACGTTATGGCGGACGGAAGTGACGGTAAAAGAAGTGGCTCTGAAATCAAAACTTGCTTTTCATAATTTATAATTTAAAAAATACCTCCACATTTTCACCCCTCTGATTATTTTTTGTGCAAAACTACATAGCTGCGTTACCTTTAGCGTGTTAACTTACCGTTAATCTTACTTTCTTTTTAAATGTGGTTTCTGTGCATCGCAGAAGGCCGCGGAGGAAGGAAAAAGGTAGCGGTGAAGCGCCGTAGACGCCATTTTTGATGGATGGATGGATGAATGGATGTGGCTGTACCCTTTAGATTGGGCGGCGGCTAACGCCACCTAGCCGTAATACTTAGTGAACTAATCATTACATTTATCTCTTTTTTTTTCTTTAAATAATGAAGTTGAGGATTCGTACTTCACAGTGAAGGGTTTAATTTTCACTCGTGCCTTGACTTTAGCCACCAATCAGATAACCTCTGCTTGACGTAAAGAGCGCCACCCAAGCCGTGGCATCCAACTCGATTTTGAATGTATATAAGTCGCATCGTTGTATAAGACGCACACACGAAAAATTCAGAAAAAAAACGCGACTTATACACCGAAAAATACGGTACTTCACTAAAGTGAGAAAAAAATTCAAGTCAGAGCAAAGACTCAAGCTTGCAGTGTATTTGGTGCAGTGTTTTACTGGTCGTGAGCTCTAAGTCAAACCTTCAGTTCTGTGAAAGTGCCAAGTGAATAATACATAACATTTTAGGGCGAGAGTACAAAAGTGGGCCTGTCGAACATGAATAGGGGCTTTGGTTAGAGTCTCATTCACATCACAGAGCAGTTGACAAAACATGTGCAGCCTGAAACGTCACAACTCTGTCATATAAGTAATCAAAACTAAAGTCAATTGCGATTAAGGCTTACTGTGATTGGCTTCCCGTGTGGCTCGGGGTTGCGATCCGAGAAGTTCATGGGCGTTCTGTTTGACCCTGGGAAGAAGAGGCACTCCTCCCAAATGACAACGTACTCGTCCCCGTCCAAGTCCGAGCCTGCATGCCACACACAATGCTCAGAGGGCAGCACACATACTCTGTAGAGACCCCAAAGGGAGCCACACATGGAACAAAAGGACAGTTCCCACCATAGTGTAATAAAAGCGCAGACATTTATTGGCAACCTTCAGGCAACTCTAAGCCTGCCCGCCAAATCTCACGAATAACGATTATATAACAAGTGGTACCAGGATGCCAATATAACACACAAAGACAACACACAAAATGTAGCACCCACAGAGCAAGAATACTTGAGGAGCCAAAACTGGGCTCGCTCGGGCGTCCTGAAAACGTCACGAAATCAGGCGCAGCAGCAAAGCGCCCTCCATCTTGAAACTCCGCTAGCGGAGAAGGAAAAACACCCACGCTGCCTTCACCACGCTCTCGTTCAAAGCAACTCTGCCCCAAATCGCCGTTTGCGTTCAAGTGAATGTGTTTCGTTCGTTCCGGTGCGTACTCGTCGGTTTCAAATTTTAAAGCGACAGCGTTTAAGAGCTACTTTTGCAGAAATGCCAGCATTGGCGTTGTTGATTGCGATTGAAAAATTTACGCTGTTCGTGACCACTGAATCAAGACACAAATAAAATGAATAGGCATGTTTACTTTGAGCCACCCAAGTATCTGTCCTTGCATGCTTTCTGCAAATCACATCAGGTCAAGTTCATTTTAAAGACGATAGTGCTGCGACAGGTTCGCCACGTTCAAGTAGCCCGCCACAATCATCGTGGCACCAGCACCAGCAAGACCCGGCTAGGCTGGCATGCACCACGCGTTCGTGCGCTCCGGCAACGAGGAAGAGGAAAATAGTTGTATCTGTGCCACTCGGCTACTCAGACTTGACGACCATAGTCTTTAGAATCGTGGGCACAAGTTTGCCCTAATAAAGACGCTTATTTTCTTAACCTGTCTGCCTCAGCATCGCTACATTTCTGGTGGAGGCGCTAGGTTATGAATCGAAGCCCCGCGAGCTCAAGACAGCGTAGCCCCGACGACCAGCGTATCAACCCCGTGGAAGTGACTCCTGTACACCAGAGGGCAAGTCGCCGTCTTCGAGGTGACTCACCTGAGTTCGGTCCTCTTCACTTCACACCAAGGGGAATTCAAACGATGGATGCCACCACTGTGACTAGCCAGGTAACACCAACACAAGTGTTCATTAGCCAACCGCACCAGCCGCCAAAATTCCACGGCGACTCGTACGAGGATGTTGAAGATTGGTTGGACCTGTTCGAGCGAGTGGCGAGCTTGAATAAATGAGACGAAAGAGAGAAACTCTGTCGTGTATACTTTGCCCTGGAAGACTTCGCAAAGACATGGTTTGAGAACCATCAAACCTCGTTGTCTACCTGAGAGGTATTTCGTCGACAAGCGGTGGCTACGTTCGCGAACATAGACCGGAAAGAAAAAACGGAGGCTGCTCTTCAATCGAGGAACCAGCTCACGAACGAGAGTGCTGCTATGTACATTGAGGACATGGTCCGTCTGTTCAAGCGAGCGGATTACAACATGGCTGAGGATAAGAAGGGGTGCCATCTAATGCGCGGAGTGAAGCAAGAGCTGTTCGCCGTTCTCGTCCGCAACCCTCCAAGCACAGTTGCTGAGTTTTACTCGGAAGCGACGGCCATCGGAAAAACACTGGAACAGCGGGCTCGGCAGTACAACCGGAATCTTAACTGCGCATCTGCACAGATATTCTTTGTAGGCGTGCGAAACGACGTTGAAGCCCTGCGAAAGCTCATTAGATCAGTTATTAGAGAAGAACTGAGCAGACTGCAAATGCCCCAGACTCCAACTGCACTATCTGTTACGGAAGTTGTTCGTGACGAACTGAGGCAGGTAATACGAGAGCCAGAGCGTGAGCTGCAGCTTGTTCGACCTATGCGAACATACTCTGAGGTTGTCAGACAACCCACGGTACACAGCAATGCAGCAGTTGCGATGGCGACGACTCCTCTCCCACCTGCGGCACGCAGCGCACCTCGTCCACGGGACCAACAGCTACCTATCTGCCCCCAGGAGCACGTAGCACACATCACTATGTGGAGCGTAGGCCCAGGAAAAGTGACGTGTGGCGTGATCACGAGCGCAGGCCTCTGTGTTTTCATTGTGGGGAAGCGGGTCATCTGTACAGATTCTGTCCTCACCGACAGGCTGGATTAAGAGGCTTCCCGTCGTATGCACCGTGCCCCCGAAACGGCGAACGACCAGCGGAGATTGAGGAGTACTTGTCCATGCGCCAGAACTCGCCACCTCTACGCCAACACCGGTCACGGTCACCATCGCCTATGCGCTACCGGTCATCCAGCCCACGTACACCTTCAAGGCAGCCTGGTCATCGCTCTCCAAGTCCACACCCGGAAAACTGAAGCAAGCGACCTGTGGAGGTGAGGCCGCTGATAACGTCAGTTACGAAGATCCTCCAATTTGGTTTGAGAGTGATGACGGTGTATTTCCGGTAGATGGGTGCAGCAACGAAAACGTTACTTCAGATTTGCGGTTGAGAATATAAGGATGGGAGCTGAATGCCTTAGTCGACACCGGTGCTGATTATTCAGTGATAAGTCACAAGATGGTGAAAAAGCTAAACAAAGTTGTGACACAGTGGAGTGGATCGCAGATACGCACGGCAGGCGGTCACATTATTACGCCCCTTGGCAGATGCACTGCAAGACTTGAAATACGGGGCTTTATTTACGTGGCCGATTTCATTGTGCTGCCAGAATGTTCAAGAGAACTCATTATAGGAATAGATTTTTTGCGAGCTAATGGCGCCGTAATTAACCTGCGTAGGTCCAGCGTGTCGTTTTCGACTGAACGAGCTATACCTGTGGAGGAATCTGAGAAACGACGCCTAACTGCTCTACGCGTTGTTCATGATGACGTAACTGTGCCGCCACGCTGCAGTATAATGGTGCTCGTAGAAAATGATGCATTGTACAACCGCGAAGGCATAGCGGATACAAATGTAGGACTGTTTTTGAACAAAGGTGTCTGCGTAGCTAGGGGTCTTGTTCACTTGACGAATGGCCGTGCAGATGTCCTACTCACAAATTTCTCCAATGAGCTTCAACGCATCGCTCAAGGCACCGCTATCGCCTATTTACACGACTTCTGTATGGCGACCGAACTATGCAGCTTAACGACATCAACCACTCGACCAGTGGCCTGCAACATCGACACATCCGTGACCGTCAATCAGAGCCTTCCGGACAGTCAGAAGAAACAGATTTACGCCTTGGTAAAAGAATTCTCCGATTGCTTTTCAAGTACCTCGAAGGTCCAGCGCACGTCAATCACGAAACACAGAATTATAACGCAAGACGACACGAGGCCTATATGCCAGCATCCATATCGGGTGTCACAGAAAGAACGGGAAATTATCGGCGACTATAGTATTTCTTGGAGACTTTTCACACAAAAACTTTGGTCTGTCTGTACATTTGTCTGTTTGTCCACCGTTACCGCGGGCTGGGTACATTAAACATCACCAGCCGATACCCCATACGGCCGACCCTATCCGCAGCGACCACCAATGTTGCTCAGGAATCAACATTTATACGCGTGTGATTGTCAATTAAAAAGCAATCAGTGCGCATATCTGAGGCACCATAACAACACGTATATATTCTGCATGTTCCTCTTTTACTAGAAAAGGCATACATAAGTAATACTAAGGACCGTAGCGCTTATCATGCTCTGCTGGCCGTGCAACGCTTGCACGGAAAGGAGAGCGTTGGAAACGCTCTCCTTTCCGACGGTGGTGGCACCTACCCGTCGCCTTGCGTTCTACACCTTATCACCTCTGAGGCGGGCGCGCACACCCGTCTCAGAGCCACGCGCTTTGTTTTTGAAAAAAACTGCCAGAAGGCGGTCATGTCTCATGTGTGACGTGACTTGATGTGCTCGTTCGCCTCCACTACAGCTCGAGGCACTGCAACGCAGCGTCTCCACAATACCATTCACCGATTTTCTTGCGCAGAACATCAAATAAAAGGCTTCTTCACTCTCTCCACAGGCAAGACTATCGTCTTGCGACATTTGCAGATTAAATGCAGATACGGGGCCAATTTTGTGTGTGTGTGTATTTTTGCCCTTATGCTGCAACATTTTTTTTCTTTGTGCTCTATCAGCTCAGGACCGTGCAAAGATGCAACGAGTACTTTGTTAGGCCAATGCAACTTCAGCGAGTCACCTTGATTTCCACGAGCAATGCACGAAGCGGTCCTGCGCACAAGGGTGCAGCAGCGAACAGCACGCATCTGGTACACTTGCAGTACGCTTACGTGAGCGATAACAGCGCTAGATAGACCCCTAAGCCACACGTACGGCCGAGGAGGCAGGTCACAACCTACCTACATTCTTTAAGATTTTTATTGCTGGCAGATTTGTTGCGATGATGTGCCGGCACGTTCGTTAACAGCCGTCATTACGCTCCAGTGCATTTCCATGCAGCCATCATAGCGCTTGAGCCAAGCTTGCAGTAATTACTGCATGTTCTACAGTTGATGCACTTATCGTAAAGGCTCAAAATTGGAAGTTGGTTGCAGTAACATATGCGACCAAATATTTGAAAAGATCGAACATTCGAGTTACTTGAAGTATTCCAAACTTTCGAATATTTGCACACCTCTCAAATTCAATGAATTTCAATACGTAATTGTATTCAACAAGGGAATCTAAATTTTCATTCAACCTCTCAAGCTTTTTCGAGAATGCTGCTAAGGTCGGTAACATTAAATAAAATCTGTGACATGGCAGTAAAAGAAATATGATATCAATATCCTCTTAACTATCTGTTGATGCATCTGAAGCAGACAGGTGTGACTAGAAAAGCTTACCGCCCGTGTGAGCTGGTTGTGGATGGATACGATAATATATTTATTGCAGTTTTATTCTTCTAAATTTCATTTAATTTTATTAACAGGTACTGTATAGACAGAAGCACTGCGATTAATAAGATCTGCCGCGGTGGTCGAGTGGTTGTGGTGCTGAAGTGCGAACCCTGAGGTCGTGAGACCCAATTACACTTTTTGATTACCGTAAAAAGCGGAATATAGGTCACATTTTTTTTTCAAGAAAACGCAATGAAAGGTCAACCCTTGTTTTATATACCAGTCATTGGCAGAAAAAAATGTGGAAGTCTCGCAACAATGGGCAGCTGAAGTCAAAAGCCTCCATTGCCATCGTGAGCATCAGCAGAGGTGCCGTTAGGCAAAGCTAGGTAAGGTCTACAGTGTTCTAGCAATGCCATATTGCCTCGGTTATCTGCTGTCAGTCTGCTGTTTTCATTTTTCTAGTATTTCCTTCAAAAGTGAGTGGTAGTCGACAGCAGTTCTTGATAGGCTTTAAGAAAATTGTTATGAGTATGCTGAAGCGCACGGCAACCTGGCGACGCAATGGGAATTCGGTGCATCGGAGAAAAGCATCCAATATAAGAGAAGCCAAAAGCAAAGCGTGACATTTTGAAACAACCAAAAAAAAAGCTGTTTCATGGACGGACTGCAGTGCACCCCAAACTGGAAACCCTACTAGCCGAATTCGTCCAGGAGCTGCGTGCAAGGTCTCTACCCGTAACAGCGGGCTGCATCCGCATAAAAGCTCTCGAGATAGCGCGCAACTCTGGGTTTATGAGGGTGCAATTCGAGAGATCGCAATCGTCGGTGTGCCGATTTATGAAGCAGAAGGGTTTTGCATTGAGGCGGCATATTTCGTCTTTCCGCAAATGCCGCATCAGTAACGCATAGAATATAACAGAAAACGACACACTCTGGGACGTTACTAGTGAAAAACAGACGTCGGACTCAAGTTTGGACAAGTCTGAGTGACAGCACTTTAAGGCCTTTGGCGTTTAACTACACAAGATTAGTGTCCAAATAAAAAAAATGTCACCAGAGTGCAACTGGTTGTGTTGCGTATTTACCAAGATAAGGGTGAGCGGTGATACTATGCGATATTTGAAAATTTCTTTTTCAGAGATTAAAAGTTGGCGGGGTTGACTCATATTGCGATCAAACCTATATTTCAGTTTTTACAGTACATTTTCACAGAGGTGAAACTTGAAAGGCTCGTATACCCTAGTTTACACACATGTTAAACAGCTCCGGGTAGCCAGAATTTCTATGGCCCTCCCTTACAGCGTTCCTCGTAATAATATCATGGTTTCAATACATAAAACCCCAACGATTATTATTCACATAAACAGCACCGATGATGAGGGACAAGAAAAGAAGGAAACAGACAGCGGCACTGTGATTATTAAGCATGATCACAAAGTGCGATTAGCCACCTATCTCCTCAGGCTTTATCAGTCTGATGCTATGGAACCTGCTAATGGCAAGATTGAAGTTAGCAGTCATGAAACGAAGGCTCACCGGCCATTTCATCGGGGTGCGGCCTAGGTCCCTGTGCCGGGAACACAATGCAGTCGATGACGTGGTGGAGCTCAGGCACGTCGACCGCGGTGAACTTGCGCACGTCACCCGGGTGCAGGCAAGGGCACTTGGTGACCAGGACAGTGCCCGTGATGACCATCTTCTTGGGCGGTCCCTTTTGCTGCACCTGCGGACTGCGCATCTCGGTGCACTGCACAAACACCTGCGAAGCACAAGTTGGGCAACTTTTGAGAGAAGTGAAAGTCTGCACAGGAATAACATGTTTTATAATAAGCCCTGAAGGGAATCTGAACATGCACTGTATTTCACATATGACTGTTAGGCTACTGCATATAGCTGACAGATGATGGAGACAAAGAAGGCACAGGGGGCAGCTATTAGTGACACTTACCTGAAGGGTCATCGATTATGAAGTAAAGGGAAAGGAAAGTGGATCTAAAGGTTTCCAATCAGTAAAGACCCATCCCACAATTTTAGCACTACACATGCAATGCTTTAAAAACCGTGCTTATTGCAAGACCCATTGTTTTATCCATGCAATCTGTTTCTGTATATGTAACCCACAGAGCATAACACACAGTCTTGCCTAGGTAATGTGAAACACTCTTTACCATCAAATGGCACCAGTGACGAGGTACAGCACTAATTAGATGTAAACAAGCGCTACCGTCTTGTCGGGCTTGTCTAATGAGTGCTGCACCTCATCAATAAGGAATTACCAATAACTCATTTCTTCAATCATCAACAGATGTTTCCTACAGGTGGCCATATGGCCAATCATTTCTTACGCGCAACATATCCTACCTGGCAAAGAGAACATTGCACACTCACTTACGTGCCAACGGGAGGCACTGACTAACACTCCAAGAGTTCCACGTTTAGGACAATGAAACAACCAGAGAAGAGTTTAGGACCACGTAGAGCGCAGTGAACCAAAAATTAGCTTTAAGTTCTAAGGTTTGCATGGTCGCAAAGTTTGGAAGCAAAATGCATGCATTGATATTTATTGAATATGAACTTGGAAGCCATCCTTTGAACTTTGTCGTGTTTATATCAGTTAGCAGCAGTGCGGGGTCCCATACTACCTTAAATTATTTTATTTATTTATTTTATTGATTTCATAATACTGTCAGCTCTCTCCTGAGGGCTCTTACAGGGAGGGTACAACCAAATACAAACCAATCAATATACATCTATGTCACGTAGTAGTGCAATCAATTAATACATGTGTAACACTTTATCAAATAGGCAAACACTGCCTGCATTTATAGCAATGCCTGGCTACGCACTACAAGGCTTAAACACAGCTGGGAGAAAGAAAACAGAGACTCAAACCAAGGAAAATGCAGGCTAATCATCTGGCAGCTCCATCACTCAAATACATGTACAACAATTTTTCGAATTGGCAAAGATCGCTTGCAATTACTACAATGCCTGGCAACACATTTTAAAGCTCAATCGCAGCTGGAAAAAAGATAATGAAACACGTAACTTCGACAAGAGTACGGTACTAACACACAGCTGTGATTAACTTGACTGCTTCGTTTCCCTGGCACTTTTAAGTACAAATTTTTTTTAATCTTTAGTTGTCCTTGCAGTATCCTGAAAAGAGCTTTCAACCGGTTCTTTTGTCTTCGTACCTCAAGTGATTCCAGTTCACAGAAACATCTGCGTGATAGAATCTAACCGGCGGTGATTCGTGCATATGAAGCGGACGGCACGGCGTTGTACTTTTTCTAAGTTTGTTTTCAGGCTGTCTTCATGAGGACTCCGCATAACTGAATCATATTCTAGTAGTGGTCTAACGAAGGTTTTGTAAGCTACAAGCTTTATATCTCGCGTAGCTTGATGTAGTTCTTGTCTTAATTAGATGAAGTTTTTGTCTCAATTATTGATCGTTCTAACATTTTGTACACCAGACTTATCACTTCTTGTGTTTTACCACGCAACCTTCACCTCAGGCCCCACTCAGCTTCATTTGCCTTTCTACGGGCGACGCCTGTGAGAGTGTTCCGCCTCGAGACTGCGGATATCCTAGTTTACATCAAGCAAAAGAAACAAATCTGGGCTGGCCATGTAATGCGCAGAACAGAACCAGTGCACAGTAAGAACAACAGAATGGTTGCGAATGCATCGAAGACTCACTCGAGTAACTGACAAAGTTTAAAAACTTGACAGGGATAAAATGGAATCGTCTCACTCATGATAGGGTAAACTGGAGATCACTGGGAGGGGCCTTCGTCCAGCAGTAGACTCAACAGTCCACGAAAGATGATCATGATGATGATGGCAGTGTTGAAAATTCCTGCTACCAAGGATCATTTGGCACAGCACTAAATCTATAAGGTGAAGGTTGGGTGCTACATTCGAACTGGCAGAAAGTCATATTTTTGTCCCCATATACTAATTTTCCATTTACACTGAAGCCTCAATATAACGAACCCAGATATCATAAAATACCACTTATGACGAAGTTAATAAAAGAAGACTTGTAATTGATAGTGTTAGGAATGTACCTTTACAATAAATTCTCGGATATAATGATGTTATTTTCGTGTAACTTTGTTACAATGAAGTCTGAGTGTACCGTGAAAGTCCGCATGTAGCTATGACTCGCATATAGTCTGGGTGTGATGACGTTTATTCGAGCACAGAAGTCGCAACGAGGTCGCGACGGAAAATGGGCGTACGGCAAGTCTGGCAAAGGCGGCACAAACTCTCGCGCAAGCAGAGCATGGGGCTTTTCGTTATCTTCCGAAGGCGCATACGCGTTGGTGCGTATGCTCCACTACAATACCCCCGGGGTGAAGGGTAGCCATCCTGGCAATTCAGGGAGTAGCCACAATGAGTGGGTCGTAGTAGGGCTTGAGATGGTCGACGTGTACGGTCTCGCGTCCTCGACGGCGCAAATCTGGGGATTGTGTTAATGGCTCGATGATGTAATTCACCGGGGAGGTCGCGTCAATGACACGGTACGGACCATGGTACCGGGTCAGAAATTTAGAAGACAGGCCAGGAACGTGCGGGGGCACCCAAAGCCCCACAAGGAAGCCAGCACGAAACGTAGGAGCTATGTGGTGAACGTCATTGTGTCGAGTCTTTTGTAGACCTTCAGCCTCACTTGTCAGAGACCGAGCCAACTGACGGCAGTCTTCAGCGTATCTGGGGACTTCCGAGAGCGGGAAGCACTCAGATGCATCAGGGCGATACGGGAGTATAGTGCCGAGTGGGTGGGAAGGTTCGCGGCCGTACAATAGAAAGAACGGGGAAATACCGGTAGCTGCTTGCGTCGCGGTGTTATAAACGAAGGTAACAAAAGGCAACACAGCGTCCCAGTTAGTGTGGTCGGAGGAGGTGTACATCCTCAGCATGTCGCCAAGCGTGCGGTTGAACCGCTCAGTGAGACCATTTGTCTGGGGATGGTATGCGGTAGATTTCCGGTGGATGATGTTGCATTCAGCGAGGATAGCTTGGATGACCTCCGACAGGAACACTCGACCCCTATCACTGAGTAATTCCCGCGGAGCACCATGGCGTAGAATGAAGCTGCAGAGAATGAAGAGTGCAACTTCGTGGGCGGTCGCTGCCAGTAGAGCTGCAGTCTCAGCGTAGCGTGTCAGATGATCGACTCCGACAATAATCCACCGGTTTCCAAAGCTACTATATGGGAGGGGGCCATAGAGGTCAATACCCAAATACCCACGCGGTCGAATGAGCGAGCCGGGCACGGGAGCGGCTGTAACATGCCAGTAAGGTGCCGCGGAGGTGTCTTGTTCTATTGGCAAGTGGTGCAAGACTGAACGTATTTCTGCACAAAGCGATACATTCCTCGCCAGTAATATCGTTGGCACAGCCTTTCGTAGGTTTTCAGGACACCTGCGTGAGCATTTTGGGGATCTGCATGGAAATTCATGCAGATGTCAGAGCGCATATGAGTTGGGACAGCAAGGAGCCACTTCCGACCACCAGGCATGTAGTTGCGGCGGTACAGAATGTTGTATCGCAAGGAAAAGTGGGCTGCTTGCCGGCGTAGTGTTCTCGTGGAAGGGACAGCAGACGGATCGGTAAGGTAGTCGACTAACAAGGCAAGGTAGGGGTCTTTACGCTGCTCCGAAAGCATGTCAGTGGTGTCGAGTGGTGACAAGGTGGTAAAAGGGGGTGACAGAGCAGCCACATCTGGCGTTAATGGCGATCGGGAAAGTGCATTGGCGTCCGCATGCTTGCGACCGGAACGATATACGACATGGGTGTCGTATTCCTGCAATCGAAGTGCCCAACGCCCCAGACGTCCGGACGGGTCTTTCAAAATGGATAGCCAACATAGAGCGTGATGGTCTGTGACCACGTCGAAAGGACGGCCGTAAACGTACGAGCAAAACTTCGTCACCGCCCAGATTATGGCCAAACACTCCTTCTCTGTCACGAAGTAATTCAATTCAGCCTTCTTGAGAGCGCGACTTGCATAAGCGACTACGTATTCGGTTTGGGTGCCTTTCCGTTGTGCAAAAACTGCGCCAAGGCCAACGCCCCTTGCATCAGTGTGAATTTCTGTGGCAGCATTGGGGTCGTAGTGGTGAAGAATAGGTGGTGAGGTGAGCAGGCAGCGCAGCTGGCGAAATGCGTCATCACATGCAGGTGACCATGCAGATATACCTTTGCTGTTGGAAAGCTGACTAGTCAGAGGTGCGATGATGGACGCGAAGTTGCGCACGAAGCGACGAAAGTAAGAGCAAAAACCAACGAAACTTCTTAGGGCTTTCAGTGATGTAGGCATTGGGAATTCAGCGACAGCTCGAAGCTTATCGGGATCCGGAAGAACACCGTCTCTTGTGATGACGTGTCCCAAGATGGTTAGTTTTCGGGCTGCGAAGTGGCACTTCTTGGGGTTAAGTTGTAGGCCTGCAGAAGCTAGACACGTCAGAATCTCGTGGAGACGACGAAGATGTGTCGGGAAATCAGCTGAAAAGACTACGATGTCATCTAGGTAACACAAGCAAGTGTTCCACTTGTGGGCACGCAATATGATATCTATCATGCGCTCAAACGTCGCAGGTGCGTTGCAGAGCCCAAATGGCATGACTTTGAACTCATATAGGCCATCCAGCGTTACAAAGGCTGTTTTAGGGCGATCACATTCAGCCATTGAAACCTGCCAATACCCAAAACGCAGATCCAAGAATGTAAAGTACTCGGCGCCTTGTA